CCTTGTAATCCTGGGGTCTCGGGTTCGATTCCCGGCGGTGCCCGAATTTATAACTTGTGTTGGGCAAGGCCGTGGTCTGGGCAACACGGAGTTTTCCTCCGGGGGCTTCCCAACAATTACTCCATTCACACACAGAAGAAGGCAATGGCAAACCACTTCTGGATCATCTGACAAGAACGTGTATGAACAGGTCTCAGTCCGAGAAAAGGATGGAAGGATCCTGTTCATATGGACCTGTCGTGAAACAGAACACTAAATAATAAGATCCTTCTTAGGATTCAACCAAAGGATGTAGAACATGTCATTTAATACAATATACATACACTTCAGAAATTTCAACACAAGTACAAGAATGTATTTCACATATCAATGTACATAAACTTCAGATTCTGCAATACAAGTATGAAAAATAATTTTACAAATTAATATACATAAACCTCAGAATTTAAAATAGGAATACGAAACTTGCTTTACATATAGATTGTATGTATATATATATATATATAGACACACACTATTATCACTCACTGCTAGTACATACCTGTTGCTTGGTCACCATTTGATGTATGAATACTGGTCAGAGTTGGAATGCACCTCAGCAGAGCAGTGCCACCACCTGGAACAATTCCCTCCTCTACAGCAGCTCGTGTCGCATTGAGAGCATCATTAACACGGTCCTTCTTCTCATTCACCTCCACCTAATGAAAATATATTTATAATTCACCTAATGACACTTTTTCAATAGTTTAGACTACTTAGCGTCAAATGAGTCTCCAAGCCAAGGTTTGAACTCTGGACCTTCCTAATGAAAATAAAGAAGGCAGTTCAGTGATCATAGCCCATACTTCCCACAGCTTAGTATGATTGATTATTTACTCTGTTATCAGACTCATTATTCGCTTCATGATTTTGATCATGACAGTCCCGAGCTACAATCCAAAATGGAGAGCAGGAGACACTCAAATCCTCGGCCTTAATGTCATCATCTAACAGAGCTGTAATGTAAACCTGTCACACTATGAAGCATAAAATATAATTATTTATCTTCAACAAAGTTGAACAAAGCTAATATACAGATGTCCAAATGCCAAATCACCCATTTGAAATATACATACATTTCACATAGCACTATGTACATCAATGCAATAATGATAAGATTAACTCATTAACACTTTCTACAAATTGTTATATACTGCTGAATGTTTTAAGAACTATATCTAGTTTTGAAGATTATATACTTCAACATTGTAGCGTTTCTATTACACACCTCACTTGATCCTCCGACTTTAAGCACCGCTACACCAGAAGCCAATCGTGCCAGTCTTTCTTGTAGTTTCTCCTTCTCATACTCTGATGTAGTACTGGAAATCTGGTCACGAAGCTGTTCAGTACGGCGATCTATGTCAGACTTCTTGCCTTTACCCTATTAACAAAAGTTTCACTTCTATGTCAGTCTTCTTGCCTTTATGCTATTTATAAACACCACGTTGAATATGATTTTGTATGAAAATGATGGTGATCTGAGATGGAAGATAAAATATTCCCAAAATACCAATACTGTAACTTTTGCAGTATCCATGCTTCTAACCCTCTTAGGGTTAAAAGAAGTGTGATTTGTCATAAATAAATTATCTTTACCTACATGCATACAACGAAAGAAGATGAAGTTCCAGGAATTAAAACGAGAAGCTGAGAATGGGGAAAACTGGAGAGCTCTTTTTGGGCAGAGCAATGGACCTGTCATAAGACAGAACACTGAATAATAACATGCATACCAACTACAGTAACTGCCACAAATGTTGTTACCCGGAGTATTAGTGTATCATCCTTAGTGATGACAATTTCTCCCACTTGACCCAGGTCTGAGAGTTGAACATCCTCAATCTTGATTGTGTTGGCCTCATCTCCAAATACAATTCCACCTGTAGCAATAGCCATGTCATGAAGTGTAGCTTTGCGATTATCACCAAAACCAGGGGCTTTAACAGCAGCTACTTGAAGCCCAATTTTTAATCTGAAAGATAATTTTACAGTAACACAACTTTCTTCATTCTGATCTTACTTTCTGTATCAACCATATTTCACCAACATATTCTGAACAGCGCCATTCACTTGGTCCCTCATGAAAGTGTTATCAACTCCATGGTACAAGGCATTCTCTGATGTGTTAATATGTATGAGCGAGTGAAGAAATTCCATTATGAAACCTGAAATTCATAATTATGTCTGCAGAAATTCCACTAGTACTATACTGTATATTCCAAAGAGCCAGTCTTCCAAATATGTATTATACAACCTCAAAATATGAGATGACTGGGAGACCACAGCAGAGTTTCTTTGGTATTTATCTTTGACTTTACTTACCTTAAAAGTACAAATGATAAAAATTAACATGGTAGATTATTGGCATCAAACTACATGGGATCAGAATGTGTAAGAATGTCAATGAAAGATATGTTAACTGAAATGCATCCCTGGGACTTCATATAAACTACAGAGAACAAATCTCACTTTAAAGGGGAGGTTTGGTGATGGTGGTGGCAAATTACATACTTTGAAGAGGTCACACACTAACATCACTGCCCATCCCATTCCAGCTCAACCCCTATTTTAAAAAATAATGTATAATATACTCATAATGCTAAAAAAAATTCTCAAGAGTATTAAAACAAAACAAGCTTCCCTTATGACTTTCATGACCATCTACTATTTATTTGGACCCTCAATACTTGTTAAGTGGTCAGTATAAACTCACCGATTCACAACCAGAGTGCTAAGGGCTTCACCATCAACATCTTCAGCAATAATTACCAATGGTTTCCGCTGAACATTTGCCAGTTCAAGGGCTGGAATAATAGACTGAACACTGGAGATCTTCTTCTCACTTAGAAGCAACAAACAGTCATTAAATTCAACTTTTGCACCTGAAAGTAAAGCAATAACATCTCAGCTAATTGAATTGCACATTCATCTTAAACTACACTTCTTTCACAATCATTATCATTACCACAATGAATTACCTTGCTATAACTGGCCCATTCACATCATCTCAAAGACTGAAGCATGTACAGGTTACATATGGTATTCTTCTTTTGTCTATGATCAATACTGTATATTTCCTAATATGCCACTTGGAAGTCCCTTCAGGATTCCTATTCTTGCAACATAATTGTTTAATACTGTTTTAAATGTCATGAAATTTTGATCCACACTTCTGACAAAATATCTCCTTATATAAGATGGAAACTGCCACCACAATTTTACTTCAATGTAATGTGTTGGGATAATGTAGGTACAATTTTTTGAGATTAATTTCGCAGTTATGTCACCAGAATGTAGAGTTTTTCTATATTATTCTTATATGTAAAAACCTTACAATTACAAAGAATGTTGGGAAAGAAAAACCGAAATACTCATACCTTTTGATGTATTAATGAAGTAAGGTGATATGTATCCACGATCGAACTTCATGCCTTCAATTACTTCCAGCTCATCATTTAGAGTTTTTCCATCCTTAACTGTGATCACACCTTCCTTGCCAACCTATAGAGACATACAACACAATCAAAAATATTCCACAATATAATTACAATTTATATTTACTCAAACATCACTATCTACCTTCTTCATTGCTTCTGATATGAGATCACCAACATTTCTATCCCCATTAGCAGAAATTGTTGCTACCTGGGCAATCTCTTCTGGGGTGGTAACAGGTTTTGATAAGGATTTCAAATTTTCTTTAATTGCATCTACAGCCATCATAACACCTGCAATATATAAACAATAATCACAACTTTAGGCCATACTGGAATTACTACAATACACCTTACATACACATCTTATAATGTTATCAGCAAACTAACCTTATGCTATTAAGTTTAACTGCTGATTATTCTGACACTAGCACAACAATTAATTAATATACTGTCTAAATTAATATGATGTAATCTGCCAGTACCACAAGAATTTATCTATTTTAATAACTACACAAAGAAACATGTACTTCTAATTTGTTGAGAACTGTACAATGTAATTTAATATTCCATTATTCAAAAAGTTCAAGAATTTTCAATGCAATATTCTGAAATAACAGTCAAAGAGACCTGTTTCCCTCATGTGTAAGACTTCTACTGAATGTATCATGTCAGCTACAAATAAAAAAAATACTTCAAATACATTTCTGAAAATTTCATACACAATACAATACCTCTTCTTATTTCAACAGGGTTTGCACCCTTGCTAATCTTCTCAAAACCTTCTTTAGCAATAGCTCTGGCAAGAACTGTAGCTGTTGTTGTACCATCTCCTGCCTCTTCATTTGTATTGTTAGCAACATCTTGAACCAACTTTGCTCCAATGTTCTGGAATTTATCTTTTAATTCCACACCTTTTGCTACTGTTACACCATCCTTTGTGATTTTAGGGCTGCCCCATGACTGTTCCAATATCACATTACGACCCTGAAATATTTGTTAAATAGTATATTTAATTTTACCTTGTATCTAAATATAAATACTCTGTTTATCTGACACCATTCATGTATCTAGAGATTAAGAGATTATAAAAACAGATGTGTTTAAATGGAACAGAGTGCAAGGTTAGGTGAACTAGTTACAATACATTGAAATTATACGTTTGTACCATACATTCTTCATATGTTCTTGTTGACTGTTTTTAATTTGTGTAAAAAGTATACAAACATAAATGACATTAACATTAATTATGGATTGGTGAGGTTAGTGAAGTCTAAAAATCTGTATTGACAAATTTGAATGTAGACACTCCTACAAACACACTGAAATTTCTATTTATGTTTCCAGATATATGTGAAACATATATTAAGACTAAGCAGTCACGTGACAAACAAACCAACCTTTGGTCCCATTGTAACAGCTACAGCATCTGCAAGAATGTCTACTCCCTGCAACATGAGGGCTCGCACTTCTGGTCCAAATCGTATATCCTTCGCCATAAACCTGACTTGGGACAAGTGGCATGCTGCTTTTGAACGCAGTACACGTGGAAGCCGATGCATCTGAAAAATTGGCATTCCTAACCTATGTATCCTAATATAAAATATGAACTAGCTAAAAATGAACCATACACTCCATGGAAGATATTTTTCCGGCACTCATTAAAGAATTAATATCGTAACTAACATTAAACGAAACAATGTTTCGTAAGCCTCAAAAATTTCTTGCTTAATATTCAAAACTGCAAACATTTAATAGAACTGTTCTGATTCCATGTATATAAATTTATACGCCTGAAAATAAGGCAAAACGTTATCAATTCTAATTACCAAATTACAAATTATTACCATGTTATTTAGTTCCAGCAAAACCCGATTGATATTCTACTCGACAAGAAGCAACACACGCCGACTCAGTTACACGCTGAGAGAGAAGGTCGCGGAGTGCACATGGCCGGCAATTTCTAAACTAGGCCCCAAACAGAGTATAATATAATACAAGGCGATTATTTGTTAAACCCAATCCTCTCCAATGTGTTTACGTAAGAAGTTTTATTTGTATATTTGCGCCTTCTTATCATATACGTTTACTACTAAAGTACACCTATTTCATTATATATTTTAAATTAAACTATACAACTGTATAAATTTATGTACACTTTGGGGCCTCTTCTTCTAGAATGTACCACTTAGATGATGTAACTTCGTAAATTTCTGCTGAGCCATGTATGAATATTATAATGTACCACTTAGATGATGTAACTTCGCAAATTTTTGCTGAGCCATGTATGAATATTACTGAAATTAAATTTTCCTCTGTTTAGACCTGCATTTCTGTTTTAATTCCCTTTTTATGCTTAATTACACGAGTTATTCCGTAAATCAAATGAATTGAGTGTTGTAGATATTCTATGCACGGTTTGCAGATATACAATTTGCCACCTGTTGGTCTTAGGGTCGAACTAATGAAACATGAGTATTTATGTTCATATCGGCAGAAGGTTTCTAGACGTTCATTATAAATGTCGCTACGTGACGCTATACAGTATATGAACGAACAAAACAATTTCTTAGTCTTGCTATAAAGATTAAAATCAATGATCCCTCGTGTGTTTGCTATCCGGTCTGAGCGATAGAAAGTTCTTGAATTGTGGAAGCGTAGGTTGAAAGGAATTAATAAGTTTTGAGTAAAGGTGATTGTATTGCTTTACGTTTGAAACAATTAAAATGGTATGTATGTTATGTAAAAATGGTCTGATGACGGGAACGTTATGTCTTAGTGTTTTATGTATTTTGTTCTTGTATAATTACAGGAAACATTACGTAGAATCATAAATGAAAGTTGGATTGTAAAAATGTTATACATTACAAATGCATATGATAGAAAATACGTTTGTTAATACCAAGCTGTGTAATAGCTCTTTATGTTATCTCAGATACTCTTGTGCTATGCTTCTGAAGAACTTATATTCATATCATTTTGTAAAATTAGAGAACCACCTTAATGGTTAAGATTTGGGCTCTAGTGGCTTTAACTATCTTGTCATTGTTAAGGGAATAATTAGCGTTTATTAGTATGCAGTAAAATTAAACTTGTTTTGATAAAGCGTTGTTTTATTTCAGGCAACACCAGTAGCCATTGTGGCAAAGCGATTGATTCCTCTCTTTGATAGAGTACTCATTCAGAGAGCTGAAGCTATAACAAAGACAAGGGGTGGTATTGTTATTCCTGAAAAAGCCCAGGCCAAGGTTTTGCGTGGAACAGTTGTTGCTGTTGGACCTGGTGCTCGAAATGAGGTATGATACTCCAGTCATTCATTCTTCTTACTGTTTACAGGTGGACTCCATTACACACGCAGCCCACAACATGCCATAACTGCTTCTTTCTACATCTTTTAGAAAATTAACATCTCAAAGATACCATATAACTAGTCAAGTTGATACAGATTTATTAAATGAAGGAATAATAGTGTTTGATACAGACAAACCACTACTACCTATAACACTAAATGAGAACCAACCATGTGACATGCTGTAAAACACTTTTGTTTGATGCACACAACTAAGTCTGCTTTCTTGTTATTGATGCCATTTTGCATTAGCCAGGAGTGACAAATGACCAAGACTTGACAAAGAAAATTTTTGTCAATCATACTGTTGTTGGAACGTTGTTATTGTGTTGCATATCAACATACACTGAAAAAGTTTAATATAAGGTTGTGTGTTTTGCTTAATTCCAGAAAGGTGAACATGTCCCATTGTCTGTAAAAGTTGGAGACCAGGTGTTACTGCCAGAGTATGGTGGTGCAAAAGTAGAATTAGAGGAAAATAGTGAATTCCATCTGTTCAGAGAATCTGATATACTTGCCAAGATAGAGTCCTGAATCTCCAGCTGTCACAAATAGACAGCATTCATATATGTGTAGTTAAAATGGGAGAACATGAGAATTATGAAGACAAACATTCTCTGCTATTGATGAAAATTACAGAGAGTAATTTATGGATGTTGTATACATGTAATAAGAAGTGTGAATGGTAAATGTTATATGATATGGTACAAGCTAACAAAATTTAGGGTGTTTTCTGTAAGTTTCACTTACTTTCAATATATAGAATGTAACTTTTTTTCACATTAAAATTGCATTTAGAGTATTCCTTTTAGGTGGAAATACTTCTCTTTGTAATTATATGTAAGGTCTTCCTTGAAAAGTTTGTAAATTCTGGCTTACTATCTTCCCATATCAGCCATTCCTACCACAAACAGCCCTTTCTCTTTAGGATATGTGATAAATTGTATTCAAAGTATTTCTAATCTCCATGTTGTATTCCCTTCCTACACATCTCATCCTTGATTTTAATATAAAGATTTCAGGTTATAAAGTTTGTCATGCAATTTTCATCCTGTTCCCACTTTCTTAGGTACAGATGTTCTCACCACTTGGTTAACAAAGCCCTTCAATATAGTATTGATGTAACTGAGGCAGAATATTTGCCCTGAAAAATAATGTAGGAATGTTTTAAAGGCTATGAATTACTCTGAAATTTAAATTATAGCTCTCCCTTGTTAAAAGAAACTTCTTTCAATTTGACTTCTGAATTGATATGTCTTCAAATATATGCTGAATAATGTTAACACTTATTTCTGGTATTCTTGGTTGTGATGACAGATGGTCACCATTGTTTTCAAGGGGCATTTTTAGCTACTGTGGAAACATCAACTCTTGTAATTCTTATCATTGCATCCATACTAATATCATCCACTTATTAAGATTTATGCATATTTTTTGTATGAATGCAGAATATGGTCTTAGTCTGAAATTGTGTATCAAATTTTTTTTAATTTAAATTTGTATGGTACCTTTCATGGGAGAACATGAAATTTGTTAATAGCCATGATGTTGGGAACTAGTGGAACATCAGAAAATGTTTCAGATTACTGACTAAGCAGTTCTGAATGAAGTCTGTTCAGAGCATTTTGCACTACCAATCTTGAACTTTTGGGTTCTAATAAATGGTAGGTGAATTGTATACTGTGCTCAAGTTTCCATTTTATTTTACTAAAGATACATTGATTTATTTCAGCATGCCTCTTGTGATAATGCCAGATGGTGGGTCACCTAGTTCAGTCACACCAGCCAAGCCATCCTGTGATACTCGTGCATGTGCAACCTTTACCAGAGACTGAAAATTAAATTCACAGCTCATTACTCCCAACAGTTCTATGTACATTCCTCTGCATTATAATACAGACTAAAAGATACCTTAAATGTTCGAGGTTCCCATACTGCTAGATCTGCTAGTGTTTTCCTGTTCAGCAAGATGTTACATCGTACCAGACCTTCTCGGAATAAAGGATATGTCATATTATGTTCTTCGCATCCTGCTGTAATGCGAGTCTCCCAAAGCTGTAAGAATGTGAAATAATGAAGATACAACTCAATATGCATTCGTTCACAAATTAGCAGCATGTGTTTGTAAAATTGTACCCACAGCAACCATATCTTCTTTCTTAAGTTTTCTTCCTTTAGTAGCAGACACCAATGCTCGGTGAACAGCTCTGATTGCAATTGAATAACAGTTTCTGCGCCTTCCATAAAAGTGCTGAAAGAGATGGTATTGTGTTGAGTCATTTAGAATAGTTTAATCTACATTAACAGCTGCAATTATGTGGCTTATGCAAAATATGCTGTTCACTTCATTTTCATTTGCTATATAAATTAATAATAATTACCGACCGCCATTTATCTTCAACCTTTTCGTTAAGAGCAAGGCGGTAATATATAATATGGATTTTCCTAACCTAACAAAATTTTTACGTTCATTTTGTTCAGATACTTCTGATATTTGCCGTCTTTAAGAAAAATTCTTACCGCTGATAGCTTCAATATCTTTCTCTTCCTCCAAAATTCGTCCGGTCCTCTATTACGAACGAATAAAGCCAATGATGTGAATACCATCCTGCTATTAAATCGTCATGAAATTATCACTTGGGTTCTGAACTTGAAACACGAACATCTTTAGGTTATCTATGGCAATGTTGGTATTAATCTGTGTTTTACAGGCTGGGTGACATGAAGCCAAGTTTCTGACTACTGATGACCTGCCACATGGTGATCCATGTTTCGGACCTGGGATTCACACTGAAACCATGGTTCATCAGTATTAACTGTGAAACACTGTGGTAACAACTTTTTAGCCTCTTTGGGCCTCATTTTCGCAGCCTTTGATAATGTTATGAAATTTGTGGTTGGTAGTAAGGTGTTGGTCTTTAGAGAAGTTGTGTTGTTTTTATAACGATTGGTAATGAGATTGTGCATGGCAATACGTATAAATTAATAAAATAAAATTAGTCATGAGGTATTTATGATTGTAAATTGGTACAAGTAACTTAGAAGAGGTTACATTTGAAATGGATGAAGACATACTTACAACATTGAAGATTCTTATTATAGGAGAAAGTGGAGTAGGTAAATCAAGGTTGGTTACATTAAATTACCGATATATTATGCATTTATTTGATTTATAATTCAGCTATGAAGTTTCTATTGTCATTGACTCTTTTTTGTTATATTTGCGTTAATGCAGTGTATACAATTTTTTCGTTATTTTAGTCTTCTTTTGCGGTTCACTGATGATAACTTCGATCCTAGTGAACCTTCAACCATTGGAGCTGATTTCAAGGCCAAGAATATTACAGTTGGTAACACAACTGTGAAATTGGCCATTTGGGTAAGTTTCCAATTTTATACAAGGCCTTTTTCACATTATAATGTCTTTAATATTTTATTTAAGAAATATAAGTAAGAAATTTTTATAATTTAAATATATGACATGCCCTTTTATTTTAGGACACGGCTGGACAGGAGAGGTTCCGATCATTGACTCCCAGCTATTATCGAGATGCTCAGGGAGCAATATTGGTGTATGATGTTAGCAACATACAGACTTTCCAAAAACTTGAAACCTGGCTTGAGGAATTAGATACATACTCAACAAAGAATAACATTGTCAAGATGGTTGTAGGGAATAAAATTGACAAAGTAGGCTACATACAGTAATACTACATGTATTTTGTCAGATAATTGAAGAGGTTTTTGCTATGTACACATTGTAATTATGGATTTACATTTATTGAAAACAAACTTTAAGTAATGTGCTTAGCATAGAATGTTGATAATCATGAAACCTGTCAGAATTTTTTCTCTCTCATTCTTCAGAGATCATAACCTTGAGTGTATTGTACAGGACCAGCAGCCCTGGCAGACAACTTTATAGTGATTTTTCACTCTATTTTGTGGAGGGAATAAGTTTTATTCTAAACAGTTGTATAGAATGTAAATTACCAAAATTAAAAAAGTAATTTTAGTAACTTGTCCAACACTTAATTACACTACTTACAAAACACTTTTCATGCTACATATGAGGTTTTGTCCAAATTGCCTAGAACTTTAATGAGACCATACAAAATTATGTAAATTAACTATTTGTCAATCATAATTCCATAACCTCTAAAAGAAATCTTTCTTGACTAGTTTGTCACTGAATGCTAGTATTATATACTGTTATTAGACCAGACCATTGTGGTCTACCTGTCACCGATTTAGTGAATGGAGCAGTCTTTCATTTAGGATAATCGGTAGCACATATGAATGAAGTATGTCTTTTCTTGTATGTGGTTTTAAGATCAGCATTTCAGTTTCTAAAATTGTGATATTTTAATTCGCAAATGGGGTTAAAACAATGAAATCTGTAGCTAATGCAAGTTCCCATCAGGTTAAACCCAAAAACACTTTGAAGCAAAGAAGTGAGCAGTATTGATCTCCAGTAGTGGTTTTCTTGCTGGAAGTGATGATTACATTACCATCTATGATAAGAGAATAGGTTTCAGTTTCACCATCACATGATTTGCATTACATGTAGTTCCTTTATTTGTTGGACTTCATTCATGTTGAGTAACTGGATGTAACAATCCACAAATCTGAATTATATATGATGTAAAATGGTAATTATTGTTGCAGGGGAATCGAGAGGTAAGTAGAGATGATGGTATGAAGTTTGCAAGAAGGCATCAAACACTCTTTATTGAATCCAGTGCCAAAACAAGAGATGGTGTCCAATGTGCCTTTGAAGAACTGGTGCAGAAGGTCAGCATATGATATTATTCTAATTCATCATAAGCAAGTATACTAGTTGAACTTATTAATTTTAAGAAACTTTGCAGTTGTGATTTGAAAATTATAGGTTCAGAGATCCCAACTTCTAGGCATGAACATGAACAGCATTGCAAACACATCAGCATGAAGTGCCTCCACTGAGATCTAATGGATGGCATTAGCATTGGCAGCCCTACATACACATAAACAAAATAAACAGAAAATATTGGTCTACATTAGGCAATATGAGTTAGCACTCAAATTTTCAAAAAAAATATTTAAACATTGTATTTTTGTAAGTGCAAAGCAGATATAAATGTTTTTAAACATTTAGATGTGAATGGGCATTCATGTTCCTAAATGTTTTATTGCAGATAATCCAAACACCTGGTCTCTGGGAGAGGATTCAAACAGATACTGATCAGATCAGGGTTTCTGATCATGAGCCATCAGTGCCAAGCTGTGGCGGATGGAGGTGTAGTCGTGTGTAACATGTTGAACTCTAATCAGCAGGATGTTGCATTGAATTTAACACTAGCAGCCATTTGAGCATTTGGCACAGGTGTCAAGTTCTAGGGTTCTTCACATTCAGGTGAAAAAATTTGTTGAAAGCAGGAACTTATTTAATTCTCTGCATAATAAATGCTATTTGATAACATTGAAATTGATTGTAATATTGAGTTTTGTATATGTTGTAATGTAATGCCATAGTTAATATTGTACTTTTTAAGTAAAGTTTCATCATTTCTCCAAGGCTACAAGTTACCATTCCAAACTGACTTCATCATAATCAGCTGCTATCAAGATACTTATTTTAAATTCATATGAAGGAAAACTATTAAGATGTGTTTTAATGAGCTTTCAATATATTCTTGCAAGTACATGTTAATACCTTAATATGTAGAATCTCAGATGTTGTATTATAAATAAATAATTGTAATATTTTTAAAGTACAATAACTGCTACTGATTTTGTGCTGTCCTTTATTTTATATTATGCCATTATTTGACTGATAACCTTCTGAAGGAAATATCAAGAGTGGCTGTCTTGACACCCAATGCAAAATGCTCAAAGCTCTCTGTCTCTCTCTCTCTCTCTATATATATACATATATACACACACACACATATAGGATGTCCCAGGAGGAAAGGTAAATATTCTGGGAGGTCATAGTATCAGTGTATAAAAAGTGTATATGTACATGTGTCCTATTCCGAGTGGTTTCTGAGATAGAGCTATTTCACTCCTACAGCATTTATTACCAGGTTCAAGGGTAGGTGGAGAGTCCTGACTATTAAACACTTCACAATGGGAAGACATGTTTGAGACTTGTGGCATATTGATATATAGTAAGAGTGGGTTTTCCTAAGTTCCTTTACAGTGTTCATTGGTCCAAGAACAGTACTGGTAGGGAGTTGACCTGCTGCTGATGTTGAACGTAATTTTGCATCATAACTCATATTTTAATTAACTGATATTTGTAGAATATACTCTTGTATTTACTCTTCATATTTAATCTGCAAAAGTTTAGTGCTATGACCACTGTGTTGAAAATCAGTGAACAACTTATTTTATACGTCTGTGATTGTTACTTACTTCTCATTTGTGGTAAACTTAATTAAATAAAGACATTAAATGTCTGATTCTTATGCATATTGTATTTTGAGTAGTTTATTGTGTAATAATTGTAAATTGTTTAAAATGTACCCTTGATTTCAGTGTGAGACAAATTTAAGATTCTTTACATGGAAAACCTTCACTACATACTTTGCTTCACTCATATCCTTCCTTATGTTAACAAATGTTAAATGTTGCATTTTTGCTCTGCTCAGTGCTTCACATTTGTGGCCTGCCATGGGTTGCCCGTATAAACTAGTAAAAGGTAAGTTGCATGCAATTTCTCACAAATTGCTCATCTGTGAATTACTTGGGAAGATTTTAATATTCCTCTGTTTATTTTATAAGATTCATGTTGAGCAATTCCAAGGAAACATTTTGCACAAGAAATAAAATATGTGGGAGACTGGAACAGAATTATTATTTTACTGAGGAATTTTGCAACATACCATAGTACAATATCTTCAAGAATCTGAATTTGAGAAAATGTTTCCTGATTTATACAAATATATTTTGATGAATATATATAATATAATAAAACAGTATCTTGCATATAGGATGACAGTTTATGATATTCATAAAGTTCTTTTGCTGCTTCTACTCGTAATACCACCACCACTATGGAAAAGGAGTGTACGTTATCAATGGGTGGTAAATAACCACGAGATGTTAATTACCAGAGACTATAAACAGCAAGATAGTTGTCGGATTTTAGGTTTTCAGAGCGGTGAGTCTTAAGATAACTGGGTTGTACGTTATTGCGCCGTATGGTCTGGTAGAAGTTTACCGAAGATTAAGAGGTGTTTGCAGCCTCCATCATCGCCCTGATGACAAACCAATGTTCAACAACATAGTTACTCTCCACAGTCTCCGAAGTAGATAACCTACCTCCATTGAAACAAGTTAGTGACATGTTGGTATAATCTGTAGTATGTAAGTAATCAATGTGTGATGTTAATGTACATGTTTCTATATCTGTGTTAATGTATGACAAGTTGTTTATGATAAACAAATATGGCGGATATTGCTAGTAAGAAAATAGGTGCTTCGGATTTCAATCCCGAAAAATGTACGTAACTTCTAATGTTATCATGTGTATAATTTTCAATAATGGTAGTTCGTTATTTGCTGTGGTATCTCATGGTAATTTTACAAAGGCCTTTGCTTTAGAGATGTTGCATAAGTCCATTTACACCTGGATTTCGATTGTTCAAATGCGGTTGGGACTTGTAGTCACCTTATTTCCCCGTGTAATCAATTATTGTGGATGTACTTTTCAGATGTTAAGGAACTCTCCCAGAGATGTGTTGGAGGTCAGGAACTACAGCAGCAACGTCAGAAAATACAAACTCTTGCAGATGAAACTAACAACCAGCTAAAGAAAAATGTGTATCAGAATTATATGCAGTTCATCGAGACTGCCAAAGAAATATCTCGTATCCTGAAAAGTACACGAAACATTGAAATCATGGGGATAATATGGAGTGTATATGTTGAAGTTCTACCCATTTTAATAATACACTGAATCTTCTGTAGGAATGAAACCTTTCACACCTCTTTTAGTGCAAAGTCTTTTATGCATGATACCCAAAGGGTTCTACAGTTAGTATGTACCATTATAGAAATCTCAAACATCATTCTCTTACATCTAATGTTTTAGTTAATCTAAAAGTTTTTATTGAAGGTATTATTAAACTAATACATTTTCTTGGGCATATTGCAACAGAGGCAGCGTCTGAACTATCTTGTGTGTCTGAAGTAATAAGTATAGAAAAACATTCAAGAATATGCATCCGTTTAATAACAACTTAATCATTTACTGAATTTGCATATAACTTGCAGCTTCCAGACATAGCCATATGATTTCAACCTACCAAAAGTCTGACCTGTTACTGAATGCATATTTATTTATGATTACTAGAGTTAAGCAGTACATAGTAGAAATGATTGCTTAGAGCAAGTTATAACATGTAGGATTTGAGGTTTTTATGGTAATGAGTCTGAAGATGGCTGTCTTCTGGGTTGTAGCACTATGTAGTGTGAAATATTGGTAAACTTTTACCGGACTACATAATATTACAACCCAGAAGACAGTCCTATTCAGTTATAACATGTTATTAAGAAAATCAGTTATGTTTATCAATTAATAGCTAACTGAATTGAAAACGTAGTAACACATCTTAATTTTGGTATACTGACATGAATTGTTTTTGACAGTGCTATCATTCATCTTCTTTATAATTTCTTGCAAATGTAAGAAAATATTTCGTGTGAAGCGCAGTCAAAGGGATGGTATATTATTTGTAGTATAAAGAGAAAATACAGGAGTGTTCATTGCAGTCATGTTGATGGTAAGCCATTGCACTTTGTCAAAATGAACAATTTTTTTTTCCATTAACTCAAGGGCCCAGATCTTGAAAGTGAGATGTATCAATTGTCACACATGTTGTCAGAACAGAGATCTCTGTTGTCATCCCTTGCTACAACCTCATTACTAGGAGACAAGATCCCCAGTGCTATTGACAATGATGGAGCAGTTGGCACCCCTGGGGAGGGAGAGGAGGGAAAGGAAGAAGAAGAAGAAGAGAGGAGACGAAAATTGGCAGCCATTCTGGAAAAAGTTGAAGGATGTGTGGTATGAGTTGACTGTTATTGTAAATACAATGATCATGCAATAAAAGTAATTCCCCAGCTTATTTCTAAAGTAAATCAGGAATGGTATTATCTGACATACATTGAATGCAATAACATTTGTCATATCCACTTGTTATTGCATCATTTCTACAGATTCTGTCATGATGCAACTATAGGTGAGGACTTTTTGCAGAACAGTACACCTCCAAAATTTGCTAAAATGAGATTAATATATTTTGCAATAGAACCTAAGCTGCTGGATTGATTGGTGTTCCTAATGATAGCAAAACAAAATGATTTTTGTTTTATATGGAGATATATTGTTTCACAAAAGACCTGTCAGTTTTGAACAACAGTATTATGAGATTATAAATTGCTTTTTGTTGTAAACAGTGCTGGTTATGTTATTTCTTTGAGTAGGGTGACAAATGTTACCATATAATAAAAATTAAACAACCACATTTCCTGGTTTGAGAAATCTACCAGTTTTAGGTATACCATTTATCAGGAACAGTTCTCAGTTTGAAAAGTAATCCTGCTATATATATATATATCCAGTATTGCTTTTCTAAAAAGAAATATATTTGTGCAAATGTTAAAATTATATAAGAATTCACAATTTTGATTTGTGCATGTTGTGTTGGTAGACCCTGCTGGAGACTCCAGGACGTACAATAATCCATGAAGGGGACTTGCTAGAGCTGGATCCCATTGAAAATGGCGCACTCCAGCGAGTGCATGCTTATTTGTTTAGTGATGGTTATATGATAGCATCGTGGATACCCAATAGGTACAGCTTTATTCTTTGAACCCTACTAGCTGTTTTCCACAGAAAGAGGATATATTTCCTTATTCCAGTAAAATAGAAATAGTTTTCATGAAAAGTGTACAGTACTGGTCTGAATGTTTTGTGGTAATCCATGTGTTTATGGAGTTAATCTTGTATCTCTCATATGTTTTCATGGTGTGATGCTTAAACTTCACCTTACCATAAGTACGTATTAACATCAGTACATCCATCCTTCTAACTGAATAGACTTTAATGCAGACCATCCTGATATAATATACAGGAAACTCTTGGTTTACGAACGTTCAATTTACGAACATTCTCTATAACGATTGTCACAATTCATTCAAAATTTCTTAAAGTCGCCAATAGTTGGAGTTCCTTATAAAATGAAATGCCAAACGTATAGTGAACATAATTGTAAGATTTAAGTAAATAAACTTTTAAAAAATGTATTTGTTACAATAATTAAGAGAAAATTATTATATGATAATTATACTGAACTGTTCTTGGTTAATAAAACTAATATAACCAGTAAAAAAACCTCAGGAATGCAAGATACACATAACGAACAAAAACGTATAACGAAACTCGTTCGTAAACCGAGAGTTGCCTGTACAGTACAAACTATTAGAATGCGTGAATATTATTACATCTGCGGCAGATCCCCTTTCACATACTGATACAGAAAATATTCAGTGTGCCAACTTCCAGATTTCTTAAGCTTTATATCATAGCAGAAACCTGGTGTTCCCAGGTTTAAGATTTATTTATTCTACCAAAGGTGAAGCATTTGTGGCCTGTTTCAAGTGCAATTTGCCTAGAAGGTAAGTCTTTTCCATAAGGCATGTATGTGTTTATGTTTATGTGTTATATGACATAACATTACAGTTTTGAGAGTAATAGTCTAAAGTTTTTCCTCTGATATACATATTTGTGGCTTTATAAATTTACCCGCTATAAGCCAAAACAAATGTATACTATATAACTTTTGTACTGGTGGAGAAATTGTGTAAGCTAATGTGAAATAAAACTGATAGTATAGTTTTACAAGGGTATGAAATTTTTTAACCAGTGGTAATATCTGTTAAGGCGTGGTCCAGTTCGTTACAAATTTGAAGCCATGTATGAGTTGGGGAGTCTTGCTGTTGTAAATGTGCGAGATATGAGCAGTGTGAAGATGGCATTTAAATTGTTGGCATTCCCGGACACAAGGGTGTTCCAGTGCACCAGTAATCAGAGCAAGGTAAGATGCAACAGAAGCCAGATTTTTATCATGGAAAGTAGCATGAAAAGGAAACATAATTGAGCACTTCTCTAAAGATTTCTTTCCCCCCCCCACCAAATGTGGTGCCAGAGAAGCTTATTAGTACTACACAGCGCAACAACCCAGAAGACAGAAATCTTCATACTCCGCTGTGAAAACCTCAAATCTTACATAATGTACATGAGTTTTTTTTCTCAAAAGAGGACAGTTTTCTACATATACACAGCTTCATTATTGTCCTGAGTTATTTTGGGCTTTGGTTAGATGTTTTTGCTGCAAGGCATACCAGAATTTTTCACTTCCACCAGTTTCACAGCCTGTAATTTTACAGAATTGTCTGGATCTGCATATGTAATTACTACTTCTTACATAAAAGTATCACTTCCAGATTCATTGACAAATATATCTTCTATTTCATCATCATAATGTATGTCACGTCTGTTATCACAACTGCTTGGGGGAAAAAACACCAAATGAAGGCAAAGAAGTACAAAATAAGTCTGCCAGAGGTAGTATCTGACAGTGAACTACGGAACACTGGTTATGTCTGGCGAGAAGAAGCACAAATTATTGCTAGGAACATTAAAACTCAAGATTATAATTCATAGTCACGAAACTCTAAGTGGTATGATTTAATTTGGATTAATATGTTCAGGGCGAATATAAAAAACCCTCATTATTTTGGTGTAACAAAGGAAGTGGTTAATGATCATTATCATAACTAGAATCATAATTTGTATTTGAGGTAATGAAACATATGTGTAATCCTTTCTTATGTTTCTGTACTCATTGCACTATGCTATGACTTAAAAAGATGTGTTTTGGTTATTGAGGATATGAATTGCAGCAATCTTTTTTACTGTGGGGTTCCATTTTCTGCACATTTGTAGACCATTGAATTTTCTCACTGTGAAACAATATACATCAGTAGATGTGAATAGGATGAGCAGACTGTCTCATTGGTGAGATGTAGTTTACTAGCCTGAAAATGAATGTAAAGTCTAATGAATTTGTATAAGGAACTTATGTGGACTTCACCAGTCATGTACCTTTGATCGACATTTTTCTTTCCTGGACAACAGAAGCATGTAAGTCCCTGACTAAGATTCTGTTACTAATAGGTTTGTGCACTCTTAATTTATTTATGTATGGGTTTTTCAGTTCCTATTTCCATTTGTCTTCTTCCAGAAAGAATGGTTAGATAAATTTGAGCAAGCAAAGAAAGCTCGCCTTGCACAAGATCAGTTGAAACGGGAATCAACAAATATAACTGAACGTTCACCATTAAGACCATCACATTCTGAATCACTGGAGTCTCCTAGCAATCGTGAGTTGTTTTGATATTTGGGGGTTGCAGTAAAATTTCTTTGGCAACACTGCATAAAAAGAAGTTTCATTTCATTACAGTAATTACCTGTTTCAGACTCTACTTGATGAAACGGGTATTACGTAAGTGTAGATGGCCTGTTTGTCTGAATGGTTTAAAGATGCTGTACAAAATGGGAACTGGTAGGGTAACTGTATTGTGAAATGGGAGGAGATAAAGGAAGTAATTGTCACTTACTTTGAAGTAGTCATTGTGTTTTCGTAATAATAGTTTGTTCCTGTGTTACATTGAAACCAGTATCGAATGAATGTGAGTCAAGTACAATAGTTATTAGTTAACCCACTTCCTGTTCTATAAGTTTGTAGACACAAATGAAGATTTTATGCTGCATAAACTGCACAGGCAGCATCTGCAAGCACAGCATAAAATGACTGATCTTGTGACTTGCTCTGTGTAGCATTTGAAGATGCAGATGATTCCATTCCTGAAGCTGAGCTGCCTGAGTGGCTTTTGGAGGTTCCAGAAGATTTGGATGTCTGTATTGCACAACGTCACTTTGAGGAGGCTTACAACCTGTTGGAGAGGGCACGAGAGTTTCTTGATAAGAATACTACCACAGATCCTGTTATCACAGACATTAGGTATTCCAGTCAACATCTAATACAAAATTCTATGTTGTCTTCTTTGGGTCGTAGAATTATATTGTAAATTAAGAAATGCTGTAAAGTATGTGGAAGTTGCTGTAATAAAATGCTAATACCTCATTCTACAGCATTGCCTAGAATATTAAATATTGTTTGTAGGATATGGAGAAAATTGTTTACTGCAAAACTTCATAATATGCACTTTTTCCTAGTCTTATCAGGGTGGTAATCATTGATTTTGTGATAGGCAAGGAATTTGGTACTTATGAGAAAACAAACAGAATAATATAATACTCACTTGCAACATAGCAAAAATTTCAAAAAAAATTATTTAAGTTGCCTTGAGTATAGCAACCTGATTTTGTGATTATAATTAAATATTGTCATTATCATAGGTGCACTATATCAAGCTAGAAACTAAAAGTGGTGTTTTTGGCACAACAAAAACTTTATTTACCAAATCAAAAATGTCATTACAATTTTTTTTTCTCTTAAATTGTTCATACTTACAGATGTTATGAGACATGCCATTTTTTTTTGTGAATTATCATAGTTTATGCATGTTGTGATTCTTGGAACCCATAGTGGAAATATTCCTCTAATGATTGTATACTACCAACAACTACCAGTTATCACCATGGCATGATGTAAAGGGTTTGTAGCAGTCACTAGTGTTAGCCATGGCAATGAACATGTAAAAGAAAGAAAAGTGAGCTGAAAATTTTCACACCCATATAAAAGAATGGATATGTTCTTAGTTCTAAGTTTTCAGAAAGCACGACATAAAAATTCTGCACTGAATGATAACATGATTTTCCTGAATTTTTGTGCTTGTAATTTGAGCACAAATGTTACATTATTTCAAAGGATTTAGAAATTATCTTTATATTGATTTTATATATTTTCTGGTTATGAGGTATAACTGTATGAAGTGTATTTTTACTCATGTTAAAAATCAGAGTATTCCAAGTTTGTGTGTAATGTGGAAATGATCCTACATCCATTAGTCTCTGAAATGTAACGATTGGTATGTTGCTTAGGCGCAAAGTGGAAGCTCGTGTGAAAGCTCTGACAGAAGTCCTGATGAAGGAGTTGGAGGTCTCGCCTGACAAATCTCTGCAAGGAGGTCTGCGGGCTGCCAGAAGAGCAGTCCGTCTGCTGAATCAGTTGGGCCGTTCGACACAGGTAGGTACTGATGTCAAATTAGTATGAGTGAGACTGCAAATTTCTGAGGAGCTGAAAACTTGTGTGTTAGGAAAGGCAACAGGGTTTATTATGAACATATGTATCATCAACAAGGAACAGCACTCTACTTTAGACACTGAAATTTGCAACTTTAAGTCTGTATTATATTGCATATGTTCATTTTATATGTATCTGCATAATTAAAAGTAATTTGTGTAATATATTTAGTTTGAGAATACTATTTAAATAAAAAATTAACTCAGCCTATGAAGTTTAAATATGCAGAAATTCACTCATAAAAATTCATACAATTAAAAACTAGTAGAATAGAAGTATTCACTGCATTTATTTATCTTAATTACTGATTGTCAGCATGATGACAAAACAAAAACAGGAGTAGTAAAGAGTTTTTTGTGATTTTCAAAATGAAGAAAATTGGAATAATCCCCCTTTTCCTACTCAGCATTTCAGTTTTGTTATCCTTTGTATAAATAGGTACAATAATAGATTCCTTCTACAGCTCTAACAATTCTTCTTTATTTGAATTAGAATTAGTAAGTGTGTGTACTTCCTGCTTGGATCAGTTCTTCTGGAATTTGATAAATTCCTGGCCATTTTATTTAGAAATTATAACCTCAAAAGAAGTAGACTCAGTTATTAATGGCCCAACTGCATATATTTCAGTATGCTTAACCCCTGCACCGCTGACCCTCATTCCAAAAGAATGTGCTGGTTGGGCGACATAACAGGTTACCGCTACTGTTTATTCCAAAAACATTGTGCGTCTTTCGGTATTAATTTATCTCTAAACCCAGCATTTTAAATTCTCAGGAACGATCATTGCGGGAAAATTGTGGGCCGGGACTAAGATTTTTGAACGATCGATGCGATAAAACGATAGTTCGAGGAACGATAGAAGCGGGAAAATGTAACATTATTTTATATGGGATGTATTCGGGACCGAACAAAACGGACGATGCATCCGGGAAAACGATAGTTCCGGGAACGATAGATAGAGGTTTCACTGTAACTGGAAAAATTTATTCTTCTACTTACACAAAATATTATGAGAAACTCTAAGAAGGTCACCTTTCTCATCATTTATCAAGTTCTAGGTTGGTAACACTTCTTAAGTTCTTTCATGTATTTGCATAGCTCTGTAGTACTTTTGTTATTATTGTTTGTTTGAAGGTCATTAATTGTATGTTTCAGATATTTTTTTCTGAAAGTTCTGCTAGTTTCATGTCTTATTGTTTGTATTATCTCCATTATTTGGCTTGGATTTTGTAGCTGTTGTAATTTTGCCTGCTTCTCTTTAGCTGACAGTTTTGAATTTGCTTCATCAAACTATGGTTTATGCTGCTTGAACTTGTAATCACCTAGACTCATTTGGTTCAATATTCTTGCCAGTACTTTGCTAAGCCCAGTTGATGTCCATAATAACACCCAAGTTTTCCAAAGCTGAAATACAAAAACTGTTTGAAATGTTTACCCTATGCTGTTCCTTAATTTTTTCATCATTTAGCTTCTAGAGCTTAAATATCTTCATATCAAACTTTTTTTTTTGCTCATTTACTTACCCATAGCTTTACAACCACTGCTCAGAATCAGTCCCGCTAAAAGACGAAACATGAAGTACATTACCCTGTTCCATCTATCAAGATGTGTTGTAATGTCTTCATCAGGAGAAGTCCAAGTACATTTATGAGTTTTGCAATATGGGAACATTGTAATATGGACAATTAGATTTTTTGACATGACATAATTTACTACTGTAATCTCATTATTATTGCTCATTTCATGTAAAGTCTCATTCCCAATTATTGGTTTGAAAATATATTTTCTATACTTTTGCACTGAAATCTTCTAATAAAATTTCCATGTGGTAGTTAGGGAATTGTTCAAATGTACATTCTAGTTCTGTTTTAAAACATATATGTTACAATTAACTCATGTGGCCTGATTTTTATACTGGGTTAACATGAGATTTATTTATTGTCCCAGAAGTTAATATTTGAGACCATGGATTGACATGATGTCATTAAACTGATGACTTTATTCTCTTTGACTTCACAGGCATGTGACTTGTTCCTGAAATTGTGCAGTTGCATACTGAAGACACAGTTGAAACGTGTCAAGAGAGAAGGTGCTACTATTCTGTATGTGCGGCAAATTGGAGGAATCTTCTTCTCCAACCTGACAGACATGACTCGTGAATTCCTTCGAGCATTTCCGCATTCCCCCAGCTGTGCCTCAGGTAGTAATTTCTTATAGTAATTTTTGTTTTTAATTTTTTGACGTAAATACGTCTATATTTTAGGATCAGTGTCATTCGGCAAAAATGTTACGAAAAAGTGTAACTTCATTGTTATGTTACCT